TTGTGACCTCGATTGCGACACATTTATACTAAAAAGAGAATGACACTAAATTCTCATATTCTACCTTGTCCTTAACACAATGGGCTAGTCTTTCATTACATAACACAAGCAAATAAGGAGATAAAGGATCTTCTTGCTTAATTCTTCTAGTACGGGACAAAGTATGAGTATTATTACCATTCCAATTTACACACATAGATGAGAGGAAAATGCAATAGTAAATAAGGTCAACAAACTTTCTATCAAAACTAGCCAATAATAAATTATCTCTATCAAAATCCCAATTTAACCCATCATAAACCTTTTTCAAGTCAAATTTCAAAATCATAAAATTTTCTTGTTTCTTAATATTTTTTTTTTTGCTAAATGTTTCTTAATAATTTTAAAAGAATGTAAAACTTCTTATAAAATGACCACATTATTCTACTATAATTATAAGTTTATTATATTATTAATGGTGCATCTTTCTCTTTTAGAATTTTAACTTAATAAATAATTTTGTAAAAAAACATATTTTAGAATTTAGAGATATTGCTTTCCCACATTCAACCATTACAGTTGCGCAAAAATTATTATATTATTACTTTATTGAGCATAATTTAACCTATCAATGATCTATTATATTTTGAATTTATATTAATTAGAGGAAACATTGATTACTATAATTAGCTTAATTTTCTCTTCTTTATGATTTTTTAGTTACATTTTGAATTACCTTAGTTATTTTGTAGAACTAGGATATGAATTTAAAAAATTTGTTTCTATTTCTATTCTTCTTATTGGTACTATTCTTTTATGTTTTATTTTTTTACATTTTAGGACATGAAAATGGAAGGTTAGATACTTGAAGATTATTCTTCAATTTGGTTTCAATAATTAAAGTTGAGGTTTTGTTCTTAGGATTTGAATATACTTTATACTTTATCTTTATTCTCATTTCATTCTTAGGATTTGAATATACTTTATGATATTCAAAAATCATTCACTCCCTTAATACATAATAAACAAAAAAATTTATAATCATAATAATGCTTAATTATAAATATTAGATTATATTTGAAAATCATATTTAAATTGCTTTAACTTTATGTATGAATTTGAATGAAATTTTATTAATGATAATTAAATTATGATTTGGAAATAATTGATTGACTAACTTAAATTTAATAAATATTATGTGTGCTATTTTCAAACAGAAAATTTTTCTAACATGATTAATGTTTAAATCAAACTAAGAGTGAAAATAAAATTTAAATTTAATAATTAGTAATCTATGGTAACTTTATTATTAAATTAAATGGAGAATTGATCCATTAATGATCTTTGTTAAGTAGTTTATTTTGTTACGTGCTTTTAATTATTAATAATCAAATAATCTTAAACTTTTTTTATTAATTATAATTAATTTAAATTTAGTATGTGCATGATACTTAGTTTAACAATTAGTGTACGTAGAAACATGATCTAGATTGACTTATCTAAATATTAATTTTACATAATATTTTGACAAAAAAAATTGTTTGTTTCTAGTTTTATGAATATAAAAAAAAAAAAGATATATGAGGAGAATGAAAATACTATTATTATTTCCAGAAACTTTGTGTAGTAACATATTTGTATAAGAAAATATAATAAATGCATTTATGAAGTTAAAGGAATCAATTTTTTCTTTTTTATATTTGAGAGTTTAGAATTCACTTAGTACGAATAAACGGTGAAATAGAGTGAAAAGAAATATACAAATAAAATAAATAATTAAATTATATTAAAATTATTTTTTAAAATTATATGAAAATAAATTTGACTTTTTTTTTCTTTTATATTTTTTTCTCTATCTTATTCTTTAACAGGTATTTGTAACTAATCAAAATAATAATACTAATTTTAAAATTATATATTTTTTAAATAATTTTATTTAATATTTAATTTATAAAAAATATATTGGAACGATAAAAAAGAGAATATAGTAAAACAAAAAATATATTAAAAAAATGAGTAGTTTCTTTTTTTAAAATGGTAACATTTTTCATTCTTCTTAGGTGTGATAAAAAATATTAGGTTTAATTATATTTGTAGTCTCTATAAATATAGATTTTTTTTAATTATTTTTTACAAATATTTTTATTAAAAAATAGTCATTCTAAAAATGATAATTTAGAAATTAGTTACTGTTGTTAATTCTATTTCTGTTAAATACTGAGATAGCTAACGGAGAATCAGCTCAATCTTTTATTTTATTTATGAAACGCAGAAAAGAAAAGAAAGAAAGTTATGAAACTATTTATATAATTATATAAAATAAGGTGATAGATTTTTTTTATAAATTTTAATTTTAAATAAAAAATAACATGACATGCTACATAAATTATGATTAAATTTCAAAATAGTCACGTGTAATGTTAAAATGACTCTTTGTTTTATTAGTCAGTGTAACACTTAAAAGAAAAAAAATTAATAATAAAAATCAATTCTTAAATTATCTATTTTAAAAAAATCATTACCTAATAAAAATATTTGTAAAAATTAATTACAAAATGATTTATATTTGTAGGACCAAAATCATAATTAATTCAAAAGATTATTAGGCATGTGTTTATCTTGTTTCGCATTTAGAACGGTAATGATAAAATCCAATTGCTAATGATTTCTGGATGGCTCATCTTCAAAATTGGATGGATTGAATATTTAGAGTACACGAAAGTCTGTTATATTCATAAATCACTTTTCAAAAATGGCTGCTAAGTTCGGCACCGACTGATTTTATTTTATTTTTCGTAAATGGAATTACGACTAAAGCCGCAGAGTTTTCGATTGGGATATATGGGGCAAAAATTATATGAAAAAAAAATATCTTTTTAACTAATTCATGTTTTGGTTAAATTGTTTTAATTTTTCTTATAATTAACGCTTAATTATTATAAAAAATGAATAAAAATATCAAAATTTGTAAAAAATAGTTCTATAAAATTTGAGAGAAAAATTAAATAAATACAAAAATATTTATTATTATTACTATTAGAGTTTAATTTTATATATTATTAATACAAAAGATTTTTATATTATTGACTAAATGATATATTATTTATATTAATTATTATGAAATAAATTATTTTATTGATACGATATTTATGATTATATAACAATGTAAATAATATTTATATTATCAATATATTGAAATTAAACTGTTAATATTATTTAGAATAAATTAAATGAAACAAAATTTAATAAATATACTTTTTTAAATTATCAAATATCTCTATATATATTTCACCTAATTTGGAAGGTACACGTGAAATGAAAATCTTACTTGTTATCTCAGTATTGTTATATTTTTTCAATTATGTTTATTATATTCTTATTTAAAATATTCTTTTATATTTTTATCATCTTTTTATTTCTCTAAACGATATCATTTATTGTAAAAGTATTATATAGTATATTTTTTTATAACATTATTATATCACAATACTTTTAATCATGAGTCACTCTACTATTGTTATTATTTTCTCTGTTATTTCCTTTACTTTCAAGTTTCAACTAGCGCAAATTGTTTTTTCTTTCATTAAAGTTGCTATCATTGATGTTACTATTATTTGGCCAAAACATTATCAATTTTGTTTCTCTCTCACTCCTAATCATTTAGTTTATTATAGTTGTTTGGAGGCTAACGTTGGTGCTATGGGAGCTGAAAAAGAAAATGCTATAAAAGAAGACAGAACAAAAAGTGAAGAAGAAAAAAGAAGTCATTGTTAAAAATCTCAAAATAAAAGAATAAGAATAAATTATTTTTAAAAATTATAAAATAAAATATTTTATATTCTTCTATGTGTTACTTTAATGTAACAAATTATTATTCTTACTTAACTTTAATGTCTTTTAATGATAGGGAATAAATAGATTGATAATTATTAATTTTAAAAATTAATATTTAAAATTTTAATTTTAGAGAATTGATTTGAAGGAGACTAAAAAATAAATTATTATTTTTTATAATATAAATTTTTCAATAATAAGAGTTTCCTTTTGTGATATTTAAATATAATATTAAAATATTCTATTAAGTTATTGCATGTCAATTTTACCTTTATATTATAAATAAATACATAAACAGATATAAAAAATGATAAGTAAATATAAAAATTAAAAAATTATTATAAATACGTGTGTGGTATACGTATGTATCATACATCCCACGTAAACATTAATTTACAAAAAGAATTTGGATTGGAAAACTATTTTATTCATTATTTCTTAGTTTTTCACACGTTTATTAGAATTTTATAGAACAATGTCGAAGGATTACCCCAAATTCAGTTTATAAGGCACCCTAATTTTAACAAAACAAATGATTATGATTATGATTTAGCTTTACGAAAAAATCCAATTAAAAAAATTAAAATATTGAATAAATTCTCATAATCTAAGCAGGATTCAACTTCTCATGATTAAAATAATAATTACCAGTCTTACAGTATGATCAGACTATTATTATTTAATTAATTTTATTTTTTTATATTTAACTGTAAAAACCGAATTTAGCGATGGCAATCCTCAATTATTTTCATTGAACTATAGACATTATCTTCCATTCGCAAGACATTTAACAAATTATTTTGAATATTTAAAAAAAATTCAAACAAAAATATATAAAAAATCTTTAAATATTATATTCTTCTAAGAGTTCATTTCCTTAAGTTTAAATATTTATACTATTTGATAATTTTTATATTAATTTAACTTATTTATTTTATAAAAATTTATCAAAGAAATGAAAGTGTTGTTAAGGAACAGTTAATATTTTTTTATATTATAATACACTCATTAATAATACCTAATCATGGATGTCAACAATGAGCAGTACTTAACTGCCGGAAGAAGAAAAGAAATCAATCTCATCCATCCCAAGAAGAAAATTATTGAAATGAATATACATAAAATATTATTTTATTAAATTTTAAATTTGAAAATTTATTTCTGTCCACACCTCTTAAGTTGGTAACACAAAGCACCTTCTTGTGTCTCTGCAACCTCTTCTCTTCTTCATTCCGTTCATTATTTCCTTGCAAAAGGAACAACCATCATAACATGAGCATCTCCAACGCCGTTTCCATAGACCCACTCTTATTAAGCTTCAACCTTAGCAGCAACTACCGCAAAGAAAGAGAAGCTTCCATTCACCGTTCCAAGCCCAAGCCATTCTCTCTCACTTCTTCTTCCACTCTTACCCTATTCAGCACCACCAACAACAACAACTATAACTATGTCTCTTGCAAACCCCACAAGTTTCACGGTCCGACGTTTGAAGCTTTTGCTACAAACACTGATACCCTTGAGTCTCTTCCATCCTCAGATGTTTTATTCAACCAGACTTTCCCTGTCAACCGAATTGAACTGGTCTCTCCTTTGCCTTCTCACTCTTTTTTGGAACATTGTATGGTTTGTAGAGAGAGTTTTGGGAATGCCCAGAAGAAATTTTTTAAATTTTTTTCTGAGGGAATAGTGAAAGAGTTGAAGGGTATTGGATTTTGTTCTGTATATATTTTTTCCTCTGAAAATATAAGGGGCAAAAAATTGGATCAGCTCTTTCAGCTTTGTTGATACTTACTTTTGTGGGTTGTCACGTTTTCTTTTGGTTGTTCTGAGCAATCAAAGAGAACAGTGATACTATCAAAAGTGTCAAATAGTTTCATACGTTTATTTGTAAAAAGGGGAATCAGCAGTGGATAAAAGGCAAAGTGCTTTTTTTCTTTACACCCCTCCCTTTTTGTTTTCTAATTTAATGGACATATTATGGTGTTAGACATTACTGTGGTTCTTGTCATGATTGAAATGGAATCTGCAGGTTGAGGGAAAGATCTTTGTGAGATTAGATCAGGGAAAGGATTTGAGAAATTGGGAGCTTACAGTGGGTTGCAATCTATCAGGGAAGTGGATTCTTCATTGGGGTGTTTCCCGTGTGGATGATGTTGGAAGGTATAGCATGATAACCAAGGTGTTTGAATTTGCTTTCAATCTAATTTGGAGATATCGTGTGATTGCACTTTATTTGGCATCTTTGTAAAAGTTCAATCTTAATGTTAATGATCCATTGAAGATATATAATTCTAATTCAAGCTTGATTCTGCAGTGAATGGGATCAACCTCCCCATGATATGATACCCCCTGGATCGATTCCTATAAAGGTAGAGCATGGCTTTATGACTTCTGATTATCTCACATATGGCACCTATCAAATAGAGAAAGTTTGAGTGTGAACTGAAAATTTCAGGACTATGCAATAGAGACCCCTATGAAGAAATCAGCATCTACTGCTGAAGGAGATACTTTTCACGAAGTCAGGATTGATCTTAAACCCCACAATGAAATTTCAGCGATTAATTTTGTTCTCAAGGTTTATATTTCTTACAGTTAGCTGTTGAAGATGTTAATTCTTATTGTTGTGTATAACTGTATGTTTGAGCTAAGAACCTTTTGACCAAACCCCACTTATTCTTTCCAATTTGGGTGACTCTGTTGATGCAGGATGAGGAAACTGGTGCTTGGTATCAACACAAAGGAAGAGATTTCAAGGTTCCTCTGGTCAACTACCTTAAGGAGGAAGCTAATGTTATTGGACCTAAAAGGGGCTTTAGTTTGTGGCCAGGTTTTATGAAATCATTTTGCATTCTGATTTTTTTTGCTTCTTCATTCAATCTATTTTGTCTCTTTTCAGAAATTTGTACTTCTACAAGGCTTTGTGTGCTTTTACATAGTGTCAAAGAAATCATAATTCTGTGATACATTGTAACCCATAGTTCCAACGGGTTCCTATTTGTGTATATTTCCTTCAACTTCTATAAAGTAGAAACTTCTTCAGATGCTTATATATAATGAACAATAGAGTCAGCCATTAAAAGTATTGCAGCATAGAAATGAAAAGAAGAAAAGGTATTTCCATTTGATATGCATTTATATTTTGTCTTATTTCTGTTTTAATATAGGAAAGTAACAATGTATATTTGTCAGAAGAATAAAACTTGATTAGATCCCTACATCATCATTTATTTCATCTTTGTGCTGACAAAATTTTAGACTAGTTAGTCAGTTATCTACTTGATTTTGATAAGATCAATGGTTTAGCTTACAATATGTATTTGGGGTGCCCTTTTTCTTTTGATTTTATTATTTTTAATCCTTTTAGCTGTGTCCTCAGACCGTTATTTTGGAGCGCTTGAACTGAGACACGTTTAATGGTTTTCTCTCACTCATAGGGGCCTTGGGGCAGATATCTAACATTCTCCTCAAGTCAGAAGCAACACATGACAAAGTTCAAGATGACAACAGTGGATCCATAGATCCAAAACTGGAAAATAGTCAACTAGAAGGTTTTTATGTAGAACTGCCTATTGCCAAGGAAGTTATTTTCAATAACTCTATCAGTGTCTCCATTAGGAAATGCTCTGAGACAGCTAATAATCTTTTATATTTAAAAACGGATATACCTGGAGATATTCTCCTTCATTGGGGAGTTTGTAGGGATGATTTGATGTGGTGGGAAATTCCACCTGCTCCTCATCCACCAGAAACAGTAGCATTTAAAGACAGAGCTTTAAGAACTAAATTACAGGTAGAGTTCTGACAAGCTATCCTTTTTTTTCTTTGTTATGTTTTAGCACTTGTTTAGGTTATGAAACATATTTCAGTACTACTCTATTGTTGATGCTATTGTCTTTGACATATTAAAGGAAGATGCTTCTTTACTTAAATAATTCCATAGGTTTTTTAACCTGATTTTCCCATCCTTCTTAAAATTGTAATACATAAATTGCATAATTTAGTTTGATCTTACTGGACTACAAAAATACAGACTGTATTTTTGTGTCAATATCTCAAGTATTGACCCTGTGTTCTTGTCTACTTATGTTGGGTGTTTTCTTAAAGTCAAATCTATGTTCTATTTTTCTTTAATGTGTCTTAATCGCTGTTTTAACGATTCAATGCACTGACTGTTTGAAGTTTTATATTGAAATAATTCCAGCAACCCTATGCATTTTACCCTCTACCCTAATCTTTTATTTTGCTGCTGTTCCTTATCTGAATAATGATGTAAGTTTATGTGAGGATGAATATATCCGGAATATACTTGAAATATTGAATACATGATATTCAAACAGGCTTTTACTCTGGTGGTCTGTTTTACTTACTTTCTCTCTCCCTTTCCCTCTTTCTCTTTGGAAACTTGGACGTTTGGTTTATGTCAATCAGAATGTGGTATTGTAGTTGCATGCCTTTCTTTGCGTTTTTTGAGATATTTACTTGTCCATCCTCTTTTGCAGTCAAGAGACAATGGAGAGGGAAGTTCAGTGCAGCTCTCTTTGGGAGGGGAATTTTCTGGATTTCTTTTTGTGCTTAAGCTAAATGATAATACCTGGTTAAATGACAACGGAAATGACTTTTATATCCCTCTCTCAAGTTCTAGTAGCTTAATAATGGACAACAGAGAGGGTCAATCAGAACCTGTGCAGAGAGAAGTGATAGAAGAGGCAGGTCAAGAGGAATCTAGCTCTGCATTTACTGATGGAATAATTAATGAAATAAGGCATTTGGTGACAGACATTTCCTCTGAAAAGAATCGAAACACAAAATCCAAGAAAGCACAAGAAAGCATTCTTCAAGAAATTGAAAAACTAGCTGCTGAAGCCTATAGTATCTTTAGAAGCTCAGTTCCGACTTTTACAGAGGAAACTATTGCGGAATCTGAGGCTGCTTTGGAATCTAAGACTCTAATATCGCCTGACTTGCCTCTACAAGTATCCTCGGGAACAGGCACAGGGTATGAAATACTATGCCAAGGGTTTAACTGGGAATCCCATAAATCTGGAAAATGGTACATGGATCTTAAAGAGAAAGCTGCAGAACTGGCGTCATTTGGCTTCACTGTGATATGGTTACCACCCCCTACAGAGTCTGTTTCACCTGAAGGATATATGCCGAAGGATTTATACAATTTAAATTCTAGGTTGATTAAAATCTTTTTAAATGTCTTTCAAAATTGCAGATGCTAGTTCTCATTAAATATTTAGATAGATGGCCCAGTGTTAGGAAAATTGCTTACAGTCAGAAGCATATGCCTCGTGCTGCACTTTCAAATATTATAGTCACTGACTAACTTGAGTAGAAGGAAAAATTCTTTCATTTGTTGATTTATACATTGCATGAAAAGAGAAAAGAATAAAATGACTCAGAATGTAAGATAATTGTACAGCTCCACAAAAAGGAACTTTGATATGAACTGTTATGTTTTTATTTAATGTATCAGATATGGAACCATTGATGAACTGAAGGATGTGGTGAAAACATTTCATGAAGTTGGAATCAAAGTGCTTGGAGATGTTGTTTTAAATCACCGCTGTGCTCACTATAGGAATCAGAATGGTATTTGGAACATATTTGGAGGTCGTCTTGACTGGGATGATCGTGCAATTGTAGCTGATGATCCACATTTTCAGGTTTGTTTGTGAGGGTTTCAATATGTACTTTGCTGCACTCTGTTTTACTATATTCTCAGCATTCAGCAACATATCTAGTTTCTTTATGGGGTTGTAGATCAATGCCTTCCACTCATACTTTTTTCCCTTACTAATAGGGTTGTCAAATTTCTCTCTAGAGATTGAGAACCCCTGATAATTGGGGTTAAAACTCTTAGCATGCTCTCAGTAAAGATGCATTTTGTGTTTTGTTTGCTATTTCCTAGGAAAATGGTTTACATTTGAAAACTTCTAATTGAAGTGTAGTAGTGTTGTTTTTTTAATTATATCTTATTTAACCTAGCCTATCATTCTATTGTTTGTGTTTTCAAATTACTGTGTTTCTTTATTATTGTATCTTATACTGATACTGATTTGTGATTGTTTGCAATTGAAAATTGATATCAAAATGACTTTATATTTGTTAGACTAGATCACAGTAATTATCAGTCATCTGGATTCTGGAGTGTAGAGTGGACAATCTTTCTAAAATGTATGATTTATCTTAGCCCCATGTTTGTGGGATTGGTTCAACATTTACATTGGTTAAAATTGTTCGGAAGATACGAATCTCAACATTTTGTTAGAGGAAGAGATGCTTTTTGAAAAGCTCATCTTATATTATATTTTTATTCTTATCATCTTGTTAAGTAAACAACTTGAAACTCAAAGTCATTTGTAGATTGTTACTGGTTTTGATGGTCCTATCTTAACCCCCGGAATTTGTTGTTATATGTAAAATCATAAAGTTGGTACTTTAGGTTTATTAAAATTCTCACGGTACAAGAAACCATGTAATGGATGGATTATGATGATTTAGTAACCTAAGATTTTAAAGATGTGATTCCTGGGGTAGGATAGTATTACTTGTACTTTTTCCTTCCCTAAGGATTATGTAACCCTATCTTGAATAGAAGTGCATAGCATAATTCTTTGTACCTAGCATAAATAAAACCAATTGTTGTTTTATAAGAATTAATTAAATAAAATAGGTTTAATGACTAAATTATGTGACTCAAAGGCTTGTTGGATTATGCAAAGCAAATCTTCATGTACACTACATTTATGAGTTGGAAACCAACTGAACATGCCAAGTGTTTCATGCTAAACAAAATTTCACAACAATGAAGTTTTTGGAAGTTCCTTTTGTTATTAGTGTGTAATACAATGATACAGTTATCTTACTGGGTGAATCTGATATGCATATTTATAATCTTTCTGCCATGCAGGGGAGGGGCAACAAGAGTAGTGGAGACAATTTTCATGCTGCTCCAAACATTGATCATTCACAGGAATTTGTGAGAAAGGATCTTAAAGAATGGTTATGCTGGTTGAGGTTGGTATTCCAGATCTTAATTTTCAATACTTTAATCTGACCACAAAATCAACCAAAAAAGCAGCCAAATAGCAGACAACAGTGCACCTTATTCACACCTTAACCTTCCATTTTCTGGCTAAACCCCAATTTTGCATACTCACCCCTTTGGTGGCCAAGCCATTCATTTTCTGCCTAAGCTCAACTCCAACATCTGTTTTACTGTTCAATTCTTCAAAATTCATATTTCCTTCACATTCCACTAGTTTTTTCTGTTGCAACCCTTGTTTTCTTACCCTATCATCCTATTTTTCTTTTGATTTATTCCTAGTTTCACATTTCTCCCATTGTTAAGCATAGGTTAAGTTTGTGGTGAAGGTGTGCTAGACTATGAGTTTTTTTTTTAAAATTATGAATATGAATAGATCTTTAATTTTGGATTTTTTATTTGTAACTATTTTTATGTGTCTGGCATAAATTATAGATTACTTATCTTGAATCTATAATCTTCAATATAATCATTTTGGAGTAAGCCTCTTTGTGCCACTATCTGGAAGTGATAACTATGCTTTTACCTTGCTGCCCATGAAAGTGAGATGATTCTTTCCTTCTATCCTACATTTATATTTAATTATTTTTTCCTTTTTTCTGTTCTACACGGTTAGAATATCTAGAACATGTCTCATAATATTATTCTAAGTGTGTTTCAAGTATCATAGATGATCTCTTATTAGTGTTTTGCATATTTCATGATTTGTTTTCTAATTAAATTAGCATTAGGAATTGTGTTAATGTAAAGCAGGGTAAGTCCTTTGTCTTTTCTGTTGTACGAGGTGTATGTCAGAGTAAGAATGATTCATTATCTCTTTATATATATATATAATATATATATGGAGAAGGATCTTCTTACATTAGTATAAGTTAAAAATTCTTACCCCTAATCTGAGTTTTTCATTTAATTTGAATTTAATGGTTAGTAAAGTAATAAATTATAAACTGTTAGATTTAAGTTAAATGAAAGGTTCAGATTGGGTGTAAGATTTTTCTTTCTGTTGTGTTGAAGTTTTTGAAGAATTGTGTTCTTAATACTGTTTACTCTTCAGGAAAGAAATTGGGTATGATGGGTGGAGGCTTGACTTTGTCAGAGGATTTTGGGGTGGTTATGTAAAGGACTACCTGGAAGCAAGTGAACCATACTTTGCAGTAGGAGAGTACTGGGATTCCCTTAGCTATACATATGGTGAAATGGATCATAATCAAGATGCACACAGGCAGAGGATCATTGACTGGATCAATGCTACTAGTGGTATCGCTGGTGCATTTGATGTTACAACCAAAGGGATTCTTCACTCTGTAAGCACTTGACTTGATGGTTTCAATAACATTTATATAAATTATTTTGTGCATAAAAACTTCTAGATTTAGAGAATATAGCTCTTCACATGACATGAAAATTTTACTAAGTCATGACTTGTGTTTTGAAGTGTTACTTGTTTCGTCAGGTTGTAGGAATTTGTTTGCAATCGTTTTTTTGCAAAGGCAGTGCACTATGTTGCTTAAGTTTTTTTTTTTTTTTTTTTTTTTTTTTTTTTTTTTTTCTTTATTGATTTTACTGTAACAGTAGTAATGCTGCTAGTGAAAGAATCTCATTCTGATAAGCTGCCTCTGCCATGCCTGAAATTTTAATGGTTGTTCGTGTGTGGGAAAGAATTATATTGTGACTTATATGTATTATCTTGCAATATGAAGAATTAACAAGCTTTTCATAAGGCTCTCTTGCTGATAACTTTACCCATCCACAATATCAGATATCTTCATTTTTTAGAAGCATACGTGACTGTTCTGGTGTAAACAATCTTACCTGAGCTTCTTAATTTGTTTTTGAACTGAAGCTCACTGCATCTCTTGTAAGGATGCTTCAAAAAGATAGCAGGAAAAAGTGCATGCTGTAAACAATCTTATCTTCATCGGGCTGTCTGTTTATTATTTAGTCTTGGTGATTTTTTTTTAAAATTTATGTTTATGTAGGCTTTGGAAAGATGTGAATATTGGCGCTTGTCAGATCAGAAAGGAAAACCCCCTGGTGTTCTTGGATGGTGGCCATCTCGTGCTGTTACTTTTATAGAAAACCATGACACTGGTTCTACCCAGGTTTGAACTTCCCCTTTCAAAAATATCTTGCTACTGGCAGGATTTTTTCTAGGTTAAATTTGATTGAAATGATTCATTTCATTATCTGTGCTTCACCTATTATTATGAATGACTGCTAGTAAAATTGGAGATTTTCAAATTGGGCGTTTTCATTTAAAGTTTGTCAGTGTTTGTCAGATTACACATACAGACATATGGAGATCTGTATTAGTTTAATACTTTAATGTAATTATAGATATTTTTGATAGTTTTATGTATAATAAATGTATTTGTTAAAGGGAATTTAAGTTATACATTCATTGTCATGGTATTTGTAACTTTTTTCTTTTTCTATTTATTGCTTTTGGCTATGCCCCTAGTTTCTGAAGATAGACAGTGTTGTTTTCATTGTTATACTTATTGATATGCTAAAAATATCAACTATAATAAAGTTTCTTTCTTATTTTCCTTGAAGGGTCATTGGAGATTTCCTAATGGAAAAGAAATGCAAGGATATGCCTACACTCTTACTCACCCAGGAACACCATCAGTGTTCTTTGACCATCTTTTCTCTCACTACAAAACTGAAATAGCAGCACTACTCTCTATCAGAAAGCAGAACAAGATCCACTGCAGGAGTACAGTAAGTATCAGAATATTCTCTTCCGCATTGCTTAGTATTTTGTAAGTAGATATTTTCTGGGGTGGATGATGAAAATTTTTTCTTTGCATGTCAAAGTCATAGAAACTGAATCAGAACTGAATATTACTTACTGAAAGTCACTTTGTTAATTGTTATTATAGAGACTAACAGATCCCAGAAAGGCAGAAACTGAGGGAATATTGTGCATAAATCTTTCAAACCAGAAAAGGAAAATATAGAATGACAATAATCTGTATTCTGTAGTGTAGGCTATTTCCAAATCCTTAATTTCCACATAACTCGTCCAGCTCCATCCCCTTTATCCCCTCTCAAATACCTTTTATCCTAACTCTTCCCTCATTCTTGCCACTCAAGCAAGATTGTTGCAGCCCAAATCCCCATTCCACATCTCTTTCTCATGTTATTCTCACCACAGGGAGTTTATATTCTTGTTATTTAAATTTGCTGCTTCTTGATCACTTCTTAATTTACACCTTAGACAGTGATGGGGGTCTATCAGAAAAAAATGTTTTGGTTATATAAAATTAGGTTGAAAGAATTAGCTAATTACTCTTCATCATATCGATGACAATGGTGTCAATGTTGGAAAAGTAAATGAAAATCTGTGTCTGCAATAATAGTCCTTAAGAATGCATCTACTTTTTGGCTGCAACTGTCTTCTGTGGTGAGAGTTAAAACTTGAAAAGCATGTTATTTGTTTTAAATGGTGCATTCTATGGAAACTCTACGTGCTTATATTTTATGATTATCTTAATCAAAACCTGGAGGTGTTCGTTGTATAATGTACAAACATTGATATTATTGGAACACTCACCTTTGTCTCCTCATGTTTAAGGTTCAAATTTGCAAGGCAGAAAGGGATGTTTATGCTGCTATCATAGATGAAAAAATTGCTATGAAGATTGGACCTGGTCATTTTGAACCACCTAGTGGATCCCAAAATTGGTCCTCAGCTTGGGAGGGAAGAGATTATAAGATTTGGGAGGCGTCATAATATTATTGTTTGTATCTTAAGTATATGTTCCTTTGGAAAATCATTCATCCCCTTATATATCTCATTGCCTTTTAGGATGCAAGTATAAACACAGAAGAATAGGCGTATTCCGGTGATGGCATGACAAGCTACAATCAAAGGGAGTTGAAGTGTGTCACTGCTGCTGAAAGTATATATGCTGCATAGAAGCAATATTACAGAGAAGGCTGCAGAGGGTTTCATTTCAGCTAAATGCTGGTTTACCTGAAACTGGAAAGCCTTCATGTTATGCATTACTATGTTTACAAAGTATACAATAGTTAGATATTTAGCACGACAAGAATGTACAAAAAAACTTGCATTGATAGTACAAAATTCTTTAACAGGTTCCTTGATCAAGATGGCATGGCAATGCATTAAGGGAAAGTTTGGACGGGGCTTTTGGAGAAAAGGAAAAGGGAGTATAGAGTTTTTTATTTTTAAAACAAGAAAGAAAGTATGTAGTGTTTATATTACGAAAAAGACATGATCAAATCATGATAAGTTATCATCTTATTCCTTTTCTTTTAAAAGTTCTTAAATTAGAGGATTTTTACTTGAGGGGATGCTTGGTGTATAGAATCTTTTTTTATTCTTGAGAATTGTTTCGTGAGAATCATATTTTTTAAAAAACTGTTTTCTTGAAAATTTTAAAAATACGTTTGGTATGTTTTAAACATTTTAAAAAATTTTAGAACAATGTTTTCTGAGAATGGTTCAGTCTTGTAATTAGTGTAAATATTCTTTTTAAGAATACTAGTGGTTAGACATAAATAAAATAAAATGTCATAAGTAGTAACATACCATTTAAGAAAGACGAAAATGAATAGACAAAACATTGAGAAGACAAATAATTTGAAATTGAGGATTAAATGAATAGTAAAAAAGACAGAATAACGAGATAATCAAATTATAGAGGAAGGGCGAGTTAGTGATATAATTATAGAAGTTGAAAAGTTAACAAACGAAAAGCTCGTGATAATTTACTTGCATGACATAACACAAGAGTTACAAAAATTTAGCATAGTAGCTAATGCTTTAATACATTCCTATTCTAAAGTTTAAATGGAATAATAATACTTTCAAGTTTTAATATTACGTTGTCTTTGTTTTCACAATTCCTTTTGGAATTGCATGTATTACTTTAGTCAATAAACGTTTTCTTAACCTATTAATATTTAGAATATTGCTCATGTTTTTTTTTTTTTTTTTAATATTTTTAGACTTGAAACTGTAAGTGATGTATATACAATTAACAATTGCACACTTTCTCATTATAATTTTACACAAATTTCTAGTCATTTATTTTAACATAAATTTAACTTCATGAAACTCTAGCGAAAAATAAGTTGTCTTATTATTATTTAAGTAACCAAAATCATTAATAGAAGATAAAGAGAGATAAAACAATGAATAGTTTAATAAATATGAAGGAAGGCTTGGTTATGTACTTATGTCTATAAAAGAGTGCCTGCAAAATGAAAAACATGCAACAATGAAAAATTGCTTATATATGGCATACAATGAGAACAGAGAGAAAGTGATGTGGCAACACGATAACCTGGGCTTCAGGTTTATAGATATAATATAATAGATAATAGATAGATAAATGCTAAATTTATTCTCTAGTTTAATGTTGAGAAAATACGTGTAATTACGTGGAATGGATCAATGCTTCATATGGGTCTGGATTTCCTTCTCTATTCAATCACTAAAATCCGTTGCCCTTTTTAGAGATCACTCATTTCTTTGATGGTTATACAAGCAAATTTCAATTCTGGTGTTTCCTATAAATAAAAATGTAAGTCACTGTAAGTTTTTACCATTAAACTGGTCAACACATATTTTCAGCCTCATGTGTCTCCGACATGACCAAATTTGCTTTTGATGCGCTACCATTACCATGTATATAAGTATCATGAGTTCCATCCAAAAGGTATTCGGGATAACTCTTCATTTGGTTCTTATCGAGTCTCACCAAGAGGGGTTCTTCCATTCTATTTTTTTTTTTTGGGCCGGGTTTAGCTTCAATAGGAGTCCAAACCTTGGCCAACATCAGTGAATAAAAAAATAAAAAGAAAGAAAAAGAAAAACAACTGATATGGCGAAATATCATATTTGTTTGGTTTTGGTTTCTTTGGCAGTGTTTATTCCTACTTTGCATGCCAATGTGTTAGAGAAAGATGAGTTTTGGCAGGAACAAGTCAAGGCGTTTACTCCATATTGGCAAGAGAGGGCAAAAGTTGCAAAAATTGACAATGAAGCAGCTTATTTTGCAGATCCATATGCAGTCTCCGGCAACATGACTTTTGCTGTTAGCGAGTGAGCTTGTCATACCCATAACACATTCAATTTCCTAATTAACAGAAAATTACACACACACTTAGAGGGCATGAAAAAATGATAACTAATGGCAAATTTAATTTGATGATTTAATCTGATATAGTTTCAGGAAAGCAATTTTTAATCATTCATATAAGATTAAATAGTTAAAATTATTCTTTTTAATTGATATATAAAGATTATAGGAAAACTCTATTTGGCATGAAAATTTATCACAAAATTTGTCAAAAGTCTATTTTAATATAAATTATTCTTTCTATATCTGCTCACTAATGTATGATCATGAGCGAAATTTATTAGCTAATTCAAATTTGTTAAATTTTAAAACAAATCATTTAAACTAATTAACATTTTTCTAGTTTATACATTTTGTAGACAAAGTTTTCTTGTTTTTGAAAATAGAATTTTATATGAATATTTAATATCATATATAATTCGACAACCAGAGACTTGTCAAAAATTATCTTTTCTCATTTCTCGCTTATATGTCATCTCTCTGGGTGCGTATATTTAGTTTATATTTGTTATAGGATAATGCTAAACCCGTCTTGTTTTTGACAACCAGACTCATAGTTGGGAATGAAGCACCACGAAGGAACTTGAAGGGACAAAATGGTAATGTGTGCACGGCCACCAACCCCATTGATAGGTGCTGGAGATGTGATCCCAATTGGGCTAAGAACCGCCAGAAGCTTGCAGATTGTGTTCAAGGGTTTGGCAGAAACACTGTTGGTGGAAAAGGTGGGGCATTCTATGTGGTGACAGATCCCTCAGATGAAGATTTGGTGAATCCAAAACCAGGTACTCTTCGACATGCAGTTACACGTGATGTGCCATTGTGGATCATCTTTTCCCGCAGCATGTTGATTTCCCTCCAACAAGAACTCATAATGAATAGCAACAAGACCATTGATGGAAGAGGAGTTGAAGTTTACATTGCTAATGGCGCTGGCATTACCGTCCAGTATGTCAAGAACATCATCATCCATGGGATTAAAATTTACAACATTCAAGCTTATGGTGGTGGTTTGATCAGAGATTCTGAGACACATTATGGTATAAGGACTAGGAGTGATGGTGATGGAATTTCCATCTATGGTGCTAGCAATGTTTGGGTTGACCATGTTTCCATGAGAAACTGCACAGATGGACTAATTGATGCCATCGTGGGATCCACTGCCATTACCATTTCCAATAGCCATTTCACAGACCACAATGAGGTAATTGATTTCTTTCACCATTGGTGGGAACTGGGAAGGTAGCCAAATGTAAACACCCTTTATATGAAATACACTTGATCTGATTTCGGTTTGTGTTTCTGCATGGTGCATGTAGGCGATGCTGTTTGGCGCAAGTGACAGCTATGATGATGATAAGATCATGCAGATCACTCTTGCATTCAACCACTTTGGCAAGAGATTAGTCCAAAGGATGCCAAGGTGCAGATGGGGTTTTATCCACGTGGTTAACAATGACTACACCCACTGGGAAATGTATGCCATTGGTGGAAGCAAGAACCCTACCATAATTAGTGAGGGCAACCGATTTATTGGTCCTAACAACATTTTTGCTAAGGAGGTATGCATCTGTATATCTATATTGAGCATAAGAAGGGTCAATCTTATCAATGGACATGCATGGGTGTTAAGATATATTTTTTATTCAAATTTAATATTTACCATTCATTTTGATTATATGGTCAAGATTAAATCCTCTCACTAAATATGTCTCTTTTATATATATATGTGTGTGTGGAGCAGTTCTATTTTAACACTCAAAATGGGTGTTTACACTAGACACTCGATCAGTATTTTTTTAAAGTTAAAATATTTAAAAAAAAATTATTTTATGTATAAAAGAATTCAAATTATACTAATACAGTAAGGAATAATAATTATAAAAAATATTTTAACACTCAAATAGGGGGGGGGGGGGGTGTCGGATGTGGTGTAGACACCAAAACAAGTGTTAAAATAACATTTCTATACATGTGTGTTGTCTTATCTGTAATCATCATAATTTGTTATGTTGTGTTGTTGGTGAAGATTACAAAGAGGGAATACTCACCAGAGAACGTGTGGTCAAGTTGGCAATGGAGATCAATCAACGATGAATATATGAATGGAGCATTTTTTGTACAATCTGGGCCAGAGCTTACAAACAGGCCATTCTCAAGGCAAGACATGATAACAGCTAAGCCTGGGAGCTATGTTGGAAGGCTCACACGCTATGCTGGTAGCCTTAGATGTAGAGAGGGCAGTCTTTGTTAGTGTTGATTATTCTCCTCATGACCTGATCACAGTCCTCATTGATGCAACTGTGGCATGACAAAGGGTAGAAACGAGAGAGAGCAACCGAGAAATCTTTGGCACACCTTTTATTTCTTGTTTACTTTTTCTTTTGTTTTCGTAGGAAATGTACAGTAAAGAGAAACCTTAACTTTGACTGCCACATACATACATTGTATATATATCTTTGTTTAAAATGAATCATACGCATTGGTTCATTTAAATAAAAATTATTTTGTTTTGTTTGAAAAAATTGTCTTGGTTTGATTTAATGATTATAATGTTTATTTTAAAAATATGTATCTCGAAAGGACATTACTTGAATAGACATTAAATGAAAGAATGAGAATATACATTGAAATAATTTGTCCATTTATGAGATTAAAAATTAGAATAAATGTGACTTTTCATACAAGACATTGACTTATAATGTATGACTATTCATTGGATAAAAGCCATAACTTAAATAATGTGATTTTTTTTAATAAAAGACATTAATTAAATTGATGTGGTTCTTTATGAATAGAAAAAAATGTGTCTATAAATAAGAGCATTTGCTAATCATATTAAATACTCAACGAAGACTCAATTCTTTATTACTTCGAGACATTTAGAAATTCATTTGTCTTATTTATTGTGCATAAGAGATAATAACCACGATTAATATTCATGACTTGAGTTGTGCAATGCAAAACATACTCAAGTTTTTTCATTGTTTCATGAAAGAAATTCTCCATCAAACAAATTTTAAATCCAAGTTAAGTTATTGGTGGATGAAAATAAGTCTAAAGAAAAGTATATTTCCATACCTTAAGATTGTGCAGACTTTCTTTATAATCTTTAATTCTTTTCTCCTTAAAAGATCCATTTCCACTCACACTTTTATTCTTTTTTGCTATTTTTTAAAAAAAAATAATATAGCATTACTTTTAAAAAGTAAACAAAAAGAGATCACAAAATCATTGATATAAAGACATCATAAATAAAAAATAATCGATGAATACGTCATGATTGAGGAAAAATATAAGAACGATTTTTATTTTCAATGTTAGTCTTTGCAAATAAGATGAAAGGCTAGCATTTATCAAATTCTTATGATATGTTACTTTTTTTTTTTACACAATGATAATAAAGAGTTACTAGATCAATGTTGTTAGAGAAATTGCAATACGGGTACACATCAATACTCATTTCTAACACTGACAACATTCAAACACGTTGATATATTATATTCGTCAATATAAACCAATTAGAGAGAGGTTTAAGGGTATGTTAAGTTTTAATTTTTAGAAGTTATGAAATAAAGCAAACACAAGAAAGATTATTGAATCGTGTGTATAAGAGTATGCAGATTTAAATTTTCTTGAAACAAGAAAAAATTAAAGCGAAAGAGCAAAAGAAGAGGAAATAAATTTTTATTTTGCTTCACTCTTAATTACCAAAAGTTTTGTCTAGTCCTTATGTTAAAATTAGATACAACATAACATAATATCCCAAGTATTCTTTTTAATATAAAGTCTGTCTAGACTTTTATGCCTAACAAAATAACCTCTTCAGGTTATCTTTTTCAAGAAAAATAAAAATTTAAAGCCATCTAAACTAGATTTTAGCATGAAAAGGTTCCAACTTTCTCATGTGTGTCAAGCAAAAGTTTGTTATTTAATCCTTCATGATAAATTTTTTATTGATGCTTACGAGTAATAAAAATGAAGTTGAGTTATTATTATTTTTTTACACTCCCTTCATTCCTTTTATCCATTACTTAAAGATTATTTCCTAATTTAAGAAAACTAATTAATATTCCATTGTATAAAAAAATATCATTCAATTTTAATTTTATCCTTCTTTTTTTAATCAATTAACTTCTTTATTTGATTAATCATGTGAAGGGTAAGGATATAGTAGAGAAAAATAATAAATATTTTCTCAAACTTCTAAAGTGACAAAAATTAAATATTTTTTAAATAGTTAGTTAAAAGAATTCAGAGAAAGTATATGCTAAGATTTGCTATAATGTTCTTGGGTTAGAAGTATTATACTGCTTACAGTAGATTTTGTTAACAAACAAATTTTTTTTAAAAAAAAATTTAGAATTAAATTTTAGATTCTCTTTATGAATTTTTATGTGTTTTTATTAAAATTAATAACTTAAACGAGCGATGCTTTAAATGAAAAAGCAGAACAATAAATTTGAATAAAAAGAAATAATTAACAAGTAAATAAAGGAATATTAAGAACAATTCAAATGAATTGAAGAATTGAAGAAGTTATACTTCTATTATTTGATAACATATTTATAGAAGAGCATTACCTATTTACCATGATATTTATCTTGTGTATTTTTTATTTACAATTGCTAATAACCTTTTAGCATATCATATAGTGTTTTTGACACATTTTTTCATCTCTTTCGGAGCCATTTACTTTTAGATATTAAAAAAATGTTTGAACTAATTTTCTTGACAAAATATTCTTTGACCTATTTTTAATTGCATTTGTTGATGATTGCAATATATTGTAAAGATACCTTGAAACAACCTTTTTTTTGACAAGCTTGATAATATAATACCTTACATTTCAACCTACAAAAGCCATTTATAAATATGCATGAAAACGTATCAAAATATGATATTCTCTTCAACTAAAAGTCAATATTTTCTCGGCCATAGTTTGCACAACGAATCTTATCAAAATGCCACTTTCTTTTTTACTACACTTCATTTCTTAGCTACAATTTATACAAAAAAAACTTGTCAAAAAGTAATTCGATTAAAATATTATAATGTCATGTTTTCAAGATTTTAGTAGAAGTATCTACTTCAACTATAAATGAAAGTCCATCTTATTATTTCAGCATAAGATTTTTTTTTAGTAGAAAACAATAAACTTCAACACTTATAAGTTGCCTTTCAACTAAAAAAAATAGTTCAAATAAATCTTTATTAAAGTGAAAACTTTATTTTCAAGCAAAAATCTTTTATAATTTAGGAAATTTTTTTATTGCTCTCAAATAAAGTTCTCCTAAAACTATTAATTTCTTTTATGAGAAAATTAAAGTGAGACTCCTTACTTGAATCTAACAATATACAAATATTATGCACGAACTTACATGTTAATGTGAGAGTATAATCTTACAAATATATGGACACGACTTTTTATGCATACGCCTGACCTTGAAAAAAGTTAACATCCATAACATAAAGCTTATTGTCTTATTATCTAATTCTTAGTTCAGTTAACAACCAAACTTAAACATTCAAAACTAAGACTTGGTTATTATAAACATAATAATATTAAGATACTTTAGATTTTCTCAAAGGAAGTCATGGCACTAATAGTTATAAAGTTTAACAGTCATAAAAGTTATCATCATGGGAATAGGAACTTAGATAAAACAAAAACGTAGTGTTTCAAAATACATCCAAAAATCATTTTACCATGACATCAGTCAAAGTAAAACATTTAAACCTTCTAATAGTCTAAGAGCAATCTAGACACTAAACACATATATCTATTGAGAGAGAAGGTCGTCTAGAGTTGTGTAATCTCCCACAAGATTAGTGTAACACTCTCATTTTATTGCCTTACTTTTGAAAAGAGAAAGTTTAGTGCAAGATGTCTCGCTCAAGTGAGACAAGGTTTTCTAAACCAAGCGTTTCAAGACACTTTCGTTTAGGAGAAAGTGCCTCAACTATCCTCTCGCCTAGGTGAGAAGTCACTCACTCAGGCGAGAAGGCACAGGGAGAAACGAGAGCTCTCTGACTAGGTTTCACTTAGGTGAGAAGAGATCTTGCTCAAACAAGATTATTAGAAATGGAAAAGATATTTTTCTGATAAGTTGAAAAGGGTATTTAAGGAACTTCAAGTCTTAAAACTTGTATTGCAAGCCAAGCAACTTCAAACTTGTTATTTCACTCTTCCTTTGCAGAGAAAATTTTCTCAAACTTTGAGTCTCTTTCAGATTGAAACTTGAACGATTATTCCTTTCAATCTTTAGTAAGTTTTCTGGAGCTTAGTTATCCAATTTTATTCCTATTTCTCTGTTTTCTCTTTTCATAAAAGTACTCTACTCTATAATGCCTAGGAAGAATTTTGATCTTTTGGATAATATTTTCCATTGAAACATTGCACTTCCCTCTGAATCTCACGAAGAATTTGATCTTAGCAACCTATTTCCAAGTAAGGAGAGTTGATCTCAAACACTAACTCCTATTTATGTATTTTCAGCTTAAAAGCTCAAACTTTCCTATTTTGAATGGTAGAGCCCTAATGTTTCCTTAAAATTACAATCTTAAAATGGATTTGTGGGCATGAAAAACCTATGATTTGTTTTCAGAATTACCTGAACAAAATTTCATGGTAAGAGTTATGAATAAAACCAATTTTAAGAAGTGTATATAACTTTGTTATTGATTCTTATGCATAAACAATTAAGGTTGTGAATTATTATTTAGAACAATATATGTACTAAAAAAAAGGTTAAACTTTAGGATAAATAATTTTTATGAAAGATCGAGAGAATATGATCTTCGACAATATAACTATAGTGTGATTTAATTTCAATATATTTTAAGCTGTATGATTGACTTGAGCTTGAAAGTGTCTGACTTTCGACATATTGTATTGATTTGTATACGCGATATGTTAAACTATTGATGAAATTAATGTGAATGATTGTGGATCCTTGTTTGAAAGTTGATACGTGTTTGACAAGGGTGAATTCATGTTATGATGAGAGAATATCATAGAAAGAGAATTGATATAAATAGTTGAGAATAAATTTGTTTAAGTTATGAAAGTGGAAAGAGAATTGTTGAGAAAATGTGTCATGAAAAAGTGATGAGATTATGTATAAATAGTTACAAAGATACACTGTGAGTATAGAGTTCAGAGATAATTTAGAAAATTTAGGAGAAATGTAAGACAGTGAATGACATTCGCTTCTGTGTGCATATTCTGATGAGTATGAATGTATCATATGG